GTAGAGATGGGGGTTTTGTCAGGTTGCCTGAACTCCTGGGCTCAAGCGATCCACCCAGCTCAGCCTCCCAAAGTGCTGGGATTACAGGTGTGAGCCATTGCACCTGGCCAGTTTTTTCCTTTTACTGCGTCTGTGGTTCAACAATTTCCTTTTTTCCTCGTTCTCTACGGACGTTCTACTTCATTTGGACTCTGCTTAGATTGGCCTAGTTTTCTGTTTAGTCAAATCTTCAGGAACCAATTTATTAAAATTACAAATGATCTAACAAGCTTTATTTTTATTATTGTTAAAAATCCTCATTTTGAGGAACACAACCACAAAGTAAAGAATGTTATCATTGATTTAAGCAGTGAAAAAACAATACTTAATGATAAAATTTTAAAAACATGGCTCCAGGCCATCTGGATGCCTTAACTTGGGCTCAGGGGCCTGACACTGATGAGTCTTCTTTATTCTCCTCTGATGCCCTTTTGTGGGAATGAATCTGTTTTGGAAGAAAACACAATTAAGATTATCCATCACAACAACCACTATCTCCAAATCTGTATTCATTCCTTTTATTCATTTTAAGTCTCATCTACCTGATGAGATAAGATTTTTGAAGACAGGAATTGTATGCTGTTTAACAGAGCTTTGATTCTTCCACAGTTCAGTCATCCTTGCTATCTTGCAGGGGACTGGTTGTAGGATACCGCCCCCACACCATACCAAAATCTGTGGATGCTCAATCCCTTACATATAATGGTGCAGTATTTGCATATAACCAACATACATCCCCCCATATACTTTATTTACTTACTTGGAGACAGGATCGTCCTCTGTCACTTAGGCTGGAGTGCAGTGTCACAATCACAGCTCACTGCAGCCTCAACCTCCTGGACTCCAATGATCCTCCCACCTCAGTCTCGGGTAGCTGGCACTACAGGTGCATACCACCACACCTGGCTATTTTTTTTATTTTTATTAAAGACAAGGTCTCACTATGCTGCCCAGGTTGGGCTCCCAAAGTGTTGGGACTACAAGTGTCAGTCAACATGCCTGGTCCCACGTACTTTAGGTCATCACTAATAAAACGTATAGCTATTGTACAATGGTAACAGTTGTTATACTGTACTTTCTATTTGTATTTTTATTGTTTCTTTTTTCAAATATTCACCTTATCCAGTTGAATCTGAAGATGTGGACCTGCTGATGAAGAGGGCTAACTGTATCTAACTTAGGGTCTTGCATGCAGCTGACACTTAATGCATTTTATTGACTGTTTTAGCTAACATTCAATGGACAATTCCTAATAAAAAACTCTTAAAAGTATGAAAAAAAGGAAACCTGCTCTAAAGTGGCAGGAAAACCAGCCTGGGCAACATAGCGAGACCTTGTGTCTACAAAAAAAGTTTTAAAATTTCACTGCCTGCCTGTAGTCCCAGCCACTCTGGAAGCTGAGGCAGGAGGATCCCCTAAGCCCAGGAGTTTGAGGTTACAGTTAGCTAGATTACACCATTGCCCTCCAGTCTGGGTGACAACAAGGCCCTGAGAAAGAAAAAAAGAGAAAGGAAAGGAAGGAAAGAGTGTAAGTATTTAAAAGGAAGAGGCAAAACTATCATTATTTGCATATAAAACAATAAATGTTAGCAAAAGAAGCCTAAGGGAATCAACTAAGATTTTACTGGAAGTAATATGAGAATTCAGTACAGTGACTAGAAACAAATTCAAGAGAACAGCACACAGAAGTCAAATACTTGTCAGATGTACCACCAATAACTAATTAGAAAATGGAAATAAGTCCCATTTACAATGGCAATACAAATGTATGAAGTATTTAGGAAGAAAAATACAAAGATCTGTTATGTAACAAAAGACGTGTAAGATCTGTATGATGGAAACCCTAAAACTCTTCTGAAAGACATTAACAAGAAATGAATAAATGACATGAAATACCATGTTCCCAGAATGTTGTACAGATGTCAATTCTCAAATTAATCTACAAATTTAAGGTAATCCTATTCAAATTCCAAGATAGTTTTTGGTGGTAGCTGTTTTTAAGACAGGGTCTCGCTCTGTTGTCCAGGCTAGAGTGCAGTGGTATGACCACAGCACACTTCATCCTCAACCTCCCAGGCTCAAGCAATCCTCCCACTTCAGCCTCTGAAGTCTCTCATATGGTGTCCAAGAAATGGGGACAAATCTCACAAAGGGACTAGGCTCAGGAGGGCTGGGATATTCAGGGAAGGTGGTTTTTTGGTTTTGTTTTGTTTTTGCTTTTTTGTTTGTTTGTTTGTTTTTTGAGACAGAGTCTCACTCTGTCCCCCAGGCTGGAGTGCAGTGGCCGGATCTCAGCTCACTGCAAGCTCTGCCTCCCGGGTTCACGCCATTCTCCTGACTCAGCCTCCCAAGTAGCTGGGACTACAGGCGCCCGCCACCTCGCCTGGCTAGTTTTTTTATATTTTTAGTAGAGACAGGGTTTCACTGTGTTAGCCAGGATGGTCTCGATCTCCTGACCTCGTGATCCGCCCGTCTCGGCCTCCCAAAGTGCTGGGATTACAGGCTTGAGCCACCGCGCCCGGCCTGTTTTTGTTTTTTGAGGCAGAGTCTCGCTTTGTCACCAAAGCTCGAGTGCAGTGGCCCGATCTTGGCTCGCTGCATGCTCTGCCTCCCAGGTTCACGCCATTCTCCTGCCTCAGCCTCACGAGTAGCTGGGACTACATGCGCCTGCCACCACGCACAGCTAATTTTTTATATTTTTAGTAGAGACAGGGTTTCACTGTGTTAGCCAGGATGGTCTCGATCTCCTGACCTCATGATCTGCCGCCTCAGCCTCATGAAAGTGCTGGGATTACAAGCGTGAGCCACCGCGCCAGGCCTATTCAGGGAAGGTTTCAAGCAGAAAGATGAACTTGAGTTGGCTTTGGAGAGATTCATGGGACTCCCACAGGCAGAGTGAAATAAGGGCATTTTAGATGGACAAACACACAGACAAGAGCAGAAATGCGGATGGTGTGACTGAGGTATGGTAAGTTCAAGCTCTGGCTGGAATGGAGGGCTGCCACAATAATGGAAATGGTAAATGAGGCAAATAAGGTTGGATTGGGAGCATGGCGTCAAGGTTACCAGCTTATTAAATCACTCTTCCAATATGCTAGCACTGGCCTGTTGGGAAAAGTAATACATGATTGTAATCGAACAAAAGGCAAACAGAGGCAAGCTCCAGGAATGGGCACTGTGAACAGGACTCGCCCCAGAGTAGCCAGATGTAGGCTTTAGATATGTTGATGCAGGTTGAGCATCTCTGATCCGAGGGGGAACGTCTCACATGGTGTCCAAGAAATGGTGACACATCTCACAGAGGGCCTAGGCTCAGGAGGGCTGGAGTATGAGACATTCCCCCTCCCCTGTGAACTTAAAAATGTGGCCAACAATTTTTTTTAAAAAATGGCTACCCTGTAGTGCTTTAACTGGACCTATTTAGACAACGCCTTACACACTGGAAAAGGATGATACTGTGTGAACCTAGTAAGTCTACAAGACAATACTTCTCTCTATTGGCTGTCTCCTTCCTCTCCAGGGTGATGACAACTCCGTGAGGTGGAGATTATATGTCTCTCATCATTTCAGCAACAAGGAAATAAATGAGTGGCAGAGTAAGTGGTGACTTGGTGAGTACATCTAATTGTTGACATCGTTTTACGTGGGAGAAATTTTGCTATTATATCAACTTCTTAAAATAGTCTAGTGGGATTAACTTGGTTTCATTTCACAGAGACCTCCTGGAAGCGAGGATCCTTTAAAATCCTGGAATATACACTGCAGTAAAAGAACAAAGTATACCTCAGCCTTAAAGGACTGAAGAAGAATGTCAAGCAGCAGCAGGTGGGAAAGTGGCTTTGGTTTTCAGTTTGTGGGCTCTGAATCCACACAAAGACAGGACTGCATTCTGAAAACCTGAATTAATTATTATTCTTACCTCAATGAGACAAAAAATTATGATCAAAATTGTTAGTATTACAGTCACAGATATTGCCAAGATGAGTTTGTTGTTATAGCCATATCCTGGAACATCTTTCATGAGC